TTGCCTTAGTCATGCAGACCTTGCCAAGCGCCGCTGGAACAGAAAGATGATTAAGTTAAACACTGCGTACTTATTCCCCTGCGGTCCACCCTAATTGGTTCTGCTGCTGGAATTGATTTGACAGGTTATTTTTACTCAGAATGAGCCGGGCTCCTCTGCTGGCTTGTAGATGTGCTATTGTTCCTGGGGTCCAGATGCCCAGATGTGGGCTGGATCCCGCTTCAGGATGGGGTGGGGGGTCCCCAGCCTCGCCTCGGGAGAACCGAGTTTGCAGCGTGAAGGCATGAGTGCCTGTGTGTGGGTTTCAAGGGTGACGTGAGAAAGGGTTAGAGAAACTCAGTGGGATGTTTCCAAGGATCAGATTGGAAAAGGGCCAGGAAAAATGTAGAACTTGAGACTTGTCTTCAGGCTGGTGGAGCCTGTGTGGCTTGGAGCAGGAGCGGAGACCTTGTGGGGAGAGCTCTTTGCCCACGGAGCCTTCTGTACTCCTCATCTATTCCAAGCAGCCCCCTCTTCCCACCCCTGCAAGCTGTTCTCCAGGGTACAGTGAACACAACCAGCCTTCTCTGGTCGCCCGCAGCTGCAGCCACCTACTCGCCTGTCCCCGCCTTTGCACACAGCTCAGCACTTCCCGGTGTGCACCGTGAACGGGGAAGTGTTGGCAAATGCTCAGAAGCCCACGGAGGGCTCCAGAACACCAGGGACCCCCTCCAGGGAAGCTGACACCATGCAGAGACACAGGCTGAATTATTAGGACCACCCCAGTGACCATTTGTGACCTTGAATACTCTCTACTCTTTGAACCTCAGAGTCCCAGCTCTCGTCTGCACAAGGAAGCCATACTTCCCGACCCATCCCCTCGCTAGGTGTGCTCACCGTAATCAGAAATAATGATCCCTGAACAGATATGTATAACTGTGCTTCTTCCCATGCACAATTGCACATTTTCACCAAGCACTGGAGAGGTGCCCCCCCCCCTTTAAAGGTTTTTGCCATAGGGTGTGTGCCCTTGCCAGAGAGAGACAGAGAAAACAAAAGTGGCCTCCAGGAGGGATGGCCATGCCACAATCCCTTCTCCACTCTTCTGGGATTTGGGGCATGCACACACAAGTATGCAATGTGATTTTCAAGCCTCTAGGTCTGGGACTTGAACCACAGTTGGCCATGTGGGTGGCCAGTGCCTTCGCCACCATGCCACCTGCTAGGCCCTAGAGAAGGTGCTGTTGTTAGTACTCCCTGCAGGTAAGGAAGCCAGGGCTTGGAGATGTTCATAGCTCCTTCCTGAGCACACGACTGGTAAGGGATGGGACTGGACAGGAGGCCCCCGTCCTTGTCTCCCAGAACTATTGCATCCTGTTAAGTATTATATACCAGAAGGAACATCACTGAAACTTCTGAATGTACAACTGCTGAGGAGAGCGTGAATGGGAGATTGTGCCCGGAGCAGCGTAATGCTGCGAAGAAGACAGTGAGAAAGGCAGCCCGCCTCCCCCTAGTTTTCCAACTTGCGGGACTTCCTCCTTCTCATCAGTAAAATGGAAGGAATAACATCCACGTGACGCGATTGTTCTCAGGAGTGAGACAGCTCCAGCGGAGGCCTGGTATTACAGCGAGCTCTCGGGCACAGCAGCCCCTCTCCTCCCGTTCACTGAGCCCGAAAGCTGAACCAAGAGAACATCCGTGTTGTCCAAGGTTCCGGGAACGGGGCATTTCCTCTGCACCCGGAAGTCCCAGCTCTCCAAAGCAGGGAATGGTGGATGGCCATGACCCACCCAAGCCCCACTCAGTGGTCACCATGGTCTGAGCCAGGCCTTCGGGGAGGCCAGACCACTGCCTTCCTGCCCACCCAGCCTCAAGGATGGCCTCGAGGCTGGAGCTGGAGCAGGCCGAGGAAGTGGGGGCATAGCCTCCAACAGCAGCTCGGAAGTTGGGAGGCCAGTCAGGCCCAGCCAGGCCCAGGACCTGCTCGGGACAGTTGTTCCGTATGGTTCGGTTGGAATTTCAGGCAGGAATGTCCAGCGGATGGCACCGGGCAAGTGCACATTCCAGAGACTGAAGCAACATTCTGCAGAGGCGTTTTCTCCCTGTCAGCCTCCAGCCCCAGCAAGACCTTCCTAGGAGTGGGAGGTGTTTCTTGGGAGTGGAGTGGGGCCAGCATGACCTGGGAAGCAGCTTCTCCCATGGTCAAGGGCACCTACCTGGGGCCCTGGTGCACCTACCAGGGGCCAGGCACTTTACTCAGAGGCACCCATCGACTGGCCAGCTGGGTTCAGCCTGGTCTTTCTTCCTGTCCTTAAATAAAGTCTCAGGCAGGTCTTATAGCTTTCGGGGAGCCCTTTTAGCATCGAAGACAGTCTCACTTTGGTAAATAGAAAATCTAGTCTAAGGCTGGCTCCATGGCCTAGTGGATAAGAGAGCTGGATCCCACATGGCTGAGGTTCGAATCCCAGACCCAATGGCTTGAAAGACATGGCAGGTTGGGTGTGTGTTTGTGTGCCCTAAATCCTGACGGGGTGGAGAAATGGAGAAGATGAAATTGTGGTGCGATCATGCCCCATCATGAAGGGTGTTTTCTCTCTCTCTTTCTGGTGAGAGCACACACCCTCTGGCAATAATTTTTTAAAAAATTATCTAGTTTAGGGGGCTGGCAGGTGGCTTGGTGGCTAAGAGTGCTGGACTCCCACATGGCTGACCGCAGTTTGAGTCCCAGATCTGGTGACTTATTTTCTCACTTTCTCTCTCTCTCTCTCTGGTCAAATTAAAATAAATACATAAAATAAATAAAGTTCATTAAAGTAAGTATAATTTTTTTTAATGCATCTAGTTTCATATCACTCAAAGTGCAGCTGGCATGCCATGGCCTCGTTGAGGCCGGTTCACTTCACCTTTCCTCTGAGGCTGCTCCCTGGCCCCACAGGGCAGGCCCAGGGTGGAGAAGCCTGGAGGGCAGGAAAGGCCTTCAGTGACTGGCAGAGAGAAGAACAGATCAGATCGCTGTCTGTGTGACCACACCTCCCGTGGCCACGCCTCTGCTGCTGAAGCCCTCCCAGTCTGGGGTGTGCAGCTGCCCAGGGCACTATGGCAGCCCCTCCTCCTTTCCAGGTCTCCTGTGAGGTGGGATGCAGTCTCGCAGCCCCCAGTCAGGATGCCCCATGGGACAGTGATATGGTGCTACCTCCCAGAGCAGTCCCCTCTCGCCCTGCACCAGCTGCTCCAGTGTCTCACCTTTAGGTTTCTCGATTTTGTGTCAGGCATCAGTCCCAGGGGCCATCAAATTCTGGGGTCACATACCAAACTCTCCGAGCGGCCTCTTTTTAAAAAAATTATTAATTTGGGAACCAGCAGTTAGCGTAATGGCTATGTCGCTGGACTCCCACGTAGTCGACCGTGGTTCGCGTCTCGGACCCGGTGGCTTAAATCTCACGCTGGGCGCGCGTGCGTGCGTGCCCAAGATCCCGAGAGGAGAATGGAGGAGAAGGGATTGCGGCGTGACCATCCCCCCTGGGGGGTGATTTCTCGCTTTCTGTCTCTATGTCTCTGTCTGTCTGGCGAGCGCACGCGCCCTATAGCGAAAACCTCTCAAAAAAAATTATTAATTTAATTTTATCTATTATTATTATTTTAAAAACTTTTCTATAGGGCACATACACTCACCAGAGAAAAGAGAGAGAGAAAGCAAGCCACCAGGTCCAAGACTCGAACCACAGTAGGCCATGTGGGAGTCCAGTGCCTTGACCACACGCCACCTGCTGGCCCCCTGACTGGCCTCCTGAAGCGCCTCCTCCCTTCTCTTGCACATCAGGGAACATATGACCCTCTCAACTCTCTTCAGAAATCTATCACAACTGCCCTCTGTAAGCTCCACCCAGTCACCCTGGAGGGGCTGGCAGAGTGTCCCCAGGCTCTTAGCTTGAACCACAGGGATGGCCCTTGCTGAAGGATGTGGGGGTTCTTGCCACCTGCTGTGCTATTCTAGGCCTTTGAGCTGTCAGCTGGGATCAGGACAGCAAGTGCTCATGGCAGCACTTTGTCTGAAGAGTTGCTCGATGTAATTATCTGGATGGACGCTCAGGTTTCTTGAGTACAATGAGAAGCCTTTAAGAAGTTTGTGGAGGGGCCAGCAGGTACTGTAGTGGGTAAGGTGCTGGACTCCCACACGGTTCGCCACGGTTCAAGTCCCAGACCTGGTGGCTTAAACTTATGCCAGGTGCATGTGCGTGCGTGTCTAAGATCCCGAGAGGAGAATGGAGAAGGGATTGCGGCGTGGCCTCCCCAACCCCAGGGAGGTGATTTCTCACTGTCTGTCACTGTTTCTCCAGGGAGCACACGTACCCTATAGCAAAAATCTCTCTCTCAAAGAAAAAAAGTTTTTTGTGCACCACTCCTAAGCATACAGCTTGCTAAAGTTAGTTAATCTGCCTGTATAACTGCCAATTGGATCAAGATCTTAGCCATTCCCAGCACCCCGAAAGACTTCTTCATGAAGTCCTACCTGAAGTACCGTAGTCTGACCTCTATCCCGTAGATGCGTTCTGCCAGCTTTCGACCTTCTGAAGAATCAAATCACACAGCATATTCTTTTTTGGGTCTGCCTTATTCACCTGTAAGAGTCATGCTGTGGTGTGTAGCAGGAGTTTATTTCTTTTTAGATTTTTGCCATACATAGGATGCATGTGCTTGTGTGTGAGAGAGGGAAAGCAAAACTCACTCCACCCCTACACCCCCACTGGGGGATGGCCACGCCTTAACTCCTTCTCTTCCACCCCCCTTTCAGGATTTAGGGCATGCATGCACATGTGCCTGGTCTGTTGCTCAGACCCCCAGTTCTGGGACTTAAACCACGTAGTTTGCCAAGTGGGATCCAGCACCTTAACCACCACACCGCCTGCTAGCTCAGGGCCTTTCTTTTCAGTGCTCTGAAGAAGTCGGTCATGAGACTATAATTACTACTACTAATAACCCATAATAATCCATTCTTTTGATAACACACGTTTGGGTTACTTCCAATTTGAGGATATTATGAATATAGGAAATGTGAACATGTCTTTTGATGGACGTATTACCCATTTCTTCTGGGTATGTAACCACAACTTGAATTTCTGGAGGGCGTTTCCATTCATGCAGTGGTAGATGCTGTCGAATAGCGTTCCAAAGTGGTCGCACCAACTTGCACGTCCACCAGCAGTGTCTGAGAGCTCTGGTTGATCCACATTCCAGATAATGTTGCTGGTCTTTTACATTTTAGCCATCCTAGGGGGACCAGCAGATGGTGTAATGGTTATGTCGTTGGACTCCCACAGAGTCGACCACATTTCAAGTCCCAGACCTGGCAGCTTAAAACTCATGGTAGGCACAGGATTTGGGGCATGCATGCACATGTGCCCAGTGTCCATTTTAAGCTGCCGGGTCTGGAACTCAAGTCTCAATGAGCCACATGGAGTCCAGCACCTATGCAACCTGCTGGTCCAATGGCTAGTGCTTTTTGTGGCCTGTTTAAGAAAACTGTGCTGCCCTAAAGTCATAAAGATATATTCCTATTTTTTCCTAGAAGCTTTATTATTTCCCATACACCAGCTCACATTCTAACGATGCACATGTGTCCCTGGCACATTGATATTGTTTTGCGTATTTTTAGATTGTTTATGAGTAAGGTACCTACTTTACGACTTGCTTTTTGCACTTACTAGTGTACTAATGAGCTTAATCTCGGTGGGTATCTGCAGCTCTCTCTCACTCACGTGCATTGCAGCAGACTTAATTACGCTGTGCGCACAGATCACCAGCCACTTGCTCTTTCTCCCGCTGATGGACATTCAGGTTATTTGCCGTGTCCATCATCACAGAAGCGGTTCTATGAACAAGCACGCCCGCGCCCTGGGGTGACGGCGTCTCTGTGGTGCACACCTCACTGCCAAGGCTGTGGTTTTGAAACTGTAGACATGCAGCACTTGCAGGTCATGCCTCGGGGCTGCTGAGGACTAAGACCAGTGAGATAGATGGGTGGGTGGGTGCTGGGCCTGGACCTCTGTTCCTGCCAGAGCATATTGACTTTCATGCTTATGGCCTAGGTAATTCGTTTAACCCCTAGTCTGAAAATAGGGTTTTCTTTTATTTTTTTAGAGAGATTTTTTGCTATAGGGCACGTGTATTCTCCAGAGAGACAGAAAATAAGATATCACCTCCCCCACCCAGGGGAATGGCCACACCGCAATCCCTTCTTCTTCTGCATTCTCCTCTCAGCAAGCATATACATGCACCCGGTGTGAGTTTCATGTACATGCACCCAGTGTGAGTTTCAAGCTGCTGGGCTTGAGACTCGAACCACGGTCAGCCATGTGGGAGTCCAGCAACATACCCATTATGCTATCTGCTGGTCCCAGTTCATTAAGAAAAAAAAAATTTTTTTTTTTAAAGTAACTGAGTTCAGGCATTGCTCTCAAAGTTTTGGTTTCCTTTGTTTTTCAATTGGCAGAGGGCAGGAAAGAGGGGAGAAGCACCCCCAATTGGATGTGATCGCGCTGCAATCCCTTCTCCTCCATTTCTCCTTTCAGGATTTTGGGCACACACACATGCTCTCGGCATGGTTTTTTTGAGAGGTTTTTGCTATAGGGTGTGTCACCAGAGAGACAGAGAGACAGAAAGCAATAAATCATCCCCCAAGGAGGATGGCCATGCTGCAAGCCCTTTTGCTCCATTCTCCTCTCTCGGGATCTTGGGCACGCACGCACACATACCTGGCATGAGTTTAGGACTTGAGCTGTGGTCGACTACGTGGGAGTCCAGCAACATAGCCTTTCTGTCAACTGCTAGTCCCCCCCGTGGTTTTCAAGGTGCCACGGCCTGGATCAGAATCACAGTTGATCTGCCATGCGGGACCTAGGCTCCCCTAACTATTCAGCTACTGGGCTGGCCTGTTTGCAAAGT